TCCAATACCATTTTACACTGTCTGGGTTTAGTAATTACCTTCTTTTTTACTTAGTTTCCCAATCCCAGTGCTTAATGCAATGAACCGTAACTTCACATGCCAGTGATACCTCATTAAATGTCAGAAGCAAAGGTGGAGCAATGCAATATGTAGAAAAGCAGAAAGGTACAAAGATGGCAGTCCTCCTAGAGCCCTAATGCCCCCAGTCCTGCTCACTGTCCTTGATGTTCTTACTCAGTGATGACCACAGATGTGTTATTTTTCATCCGTAGGATCAACTTCCCTTTCTTCTGGCAGAGTTATGAAAGTCCCCCTAATTTTTTCTCCACAGTCATGAAACAGTTACTTTCTGAAGAGATCCGAGCATCCATTGCCATAGCTGCATTGGTTTGTATCATCTTGGAGTGAAGTTTAACATGAAATAAACTTAGCTCTATGTAACTGTGAAAAACACATGTAACAAAAGTTCATTATTTAGAAATGAAGAAAATTAAAATAAAAGAAAATAAGGCAAGAGGAAAAAACTTGACTGCTTGAAATATCACGAGCCAAACTTCCAGGAAGGGGCAGAGAGTGGATTGTGTAACATCAAGGAAGTATTCAGCAAAATCAACAGAAAATTGCAAAGCAAAATATAAGCAAAAAGCATATATCTCAAATATGCAATCTCTATCAGTAACTTCTTTTTAAATTCAGCAAACCCTCTTTTTTTTAACAAACAGAGCCCTTTTACCTGTCATTTGGTCTCTGGAGTGGGGTTATTACTGACAGAATTGGGAGTTCTTCCTGACACAGTGCCATAATATCAGTTTGAAATTTACTGCCTGAAGAAAAATAAGTCCCAAGTTAAGTTTTCAAAGTGTTGTGTAGAGGTCACCCCGAGTAAAAATAAATCAGATGCATTAGAAAAGACTTTAGAATCTTAATCTTTCCTATAAAGACAAAAAGAAAAACAAAAAACTGTTTTGTTCAAGGGCCAGAACGTTCATTTATCTTGGAATATTATGATACATGATCTGATAGATAATAGCTCTAATTTTAGGAAATAGACATAATTTCCTCATGTACTTTGTTCTGATTTACTTTTTTTCTTGACCTACTTCAAGACAAAGATGAGAAGATAAATTACCACACTCAGCTGGCTAATTTTTTATGAATTTGAACCTACTGTACTAGTTTTCTATGCTATGCAAACACTATTTTAAAATATGACCAAAAAATAAGCTGCTTAGTCCTCAAAAACATGGACTAGGCACATCTTAAGCACTCTGAAGTCTTATTTATTCTACCGACGTGTTTATGTATATTTTGAAGAACTTTATAGGTGTAATTATAAATTCTTTTCAAATTTATACTCAATTATCATTATAATATCCTACAGTATTACCATTTTTACAGAAGTATAGTTGTCATTCAGCATGTGTTTCGTCTATCAAGACGAGGCCACAGAAGTGATGTTTGCAGGTGGTCTTTTGTTTAAGCTATGTGCAGGATGAGATGACAGTATTATTTTCTCCTTCAGAGCTTGAAATTCTTGGCTATTTCTACTCTTAAAATACTGCAGTTCATGAAATACACAAAAACCACAGGGCATTTGTAATGAAAGAACTGATTTGGGGAATATGTGAAACAACATAAACTCCCTAGAGCAAACCAGTTGCTGTTATTCCAGTATCTTTTCTACTGTATTCCCCATTATCTGTATATTCTACCTTCCTACTGCAAATGGAGTCTGTTTCTATGTTTCACGTCTGATTTTGCTTTGCCATTAATATTTCAAATTATTGAAGCTGGATTTTTGTTTGTTTGTTTGTTTTACATTTGGGGCACCGGTATCTTATATCTATTAAGTAGAATGTTAGCACTTTCTAGAAAGGAGAATTAAAGCAAACAGAGTAAGAAAGTGTTCCATCTAATGACTCTATTACTTCTGAGTTGTTTGGTATATCAAGCTACAGTTAGCATAGACAAGGCCTCAATAGGAAGTCAGTACCAGTGCTAGAATTCACAGATTATTCCAACTCATGTTTCTTGCAGCAAGTAGCCTGGCAAACATCACCATTTCCACCAATTAACATCCATTAACAATGTCAACTGAACCATTCAGCTTGGTGTCACCAGCAAACCTGCTGGGAGTAGACTTGATCCTGATCTCCGTGTCATTAATAAAGATGGTAAAGATTACTGCTCTCCAGGACAGACCCCTGGGGCACACCACTTGTGACCAGCCTCTGCCCAGACAGAGCCATTGACAAGAACCCTCTGGCCACATACAACCAATACCTTATCCACTGAATTGTCCACTCTTCAAATACTGATTTCTCCAATGTAAAGATAAGGACGTGCTGCAGGACCACATCAAAAGCCTTACAGAAATCTAAGTAGATGACATCAGTTGTCCTTCCTTTTTCCACCAGCGCTGTCACTCCAACACAGAAGGTCACCAGATTGATCAGGCACAGTCTGCCCTTTGGGAAGCCATGCTGGTTGATCAGATCACCTCCATATCTCACATGTCCCTTAAGATTTCTAAATTTCTCACATCCAATCAACAATTTTGTTGGTTTTTTTTTTTTCTTATTTTTGCTTATTTTTTAGACTAATTTATTCACTTTCATGCATTGATTTTTGAAACTATGTATAATTATAATAATTATATTCCAATCTCCTAAAAGAATAAAGTACCTCCTTAGCAATTTATAGTGAACCTTCACAAGAATTTTGGTATATTTTCCCAATTAATCTTTCTGCGTTGTACTCTTAAATATGTTCTTTGACAAGCACTCTGATATTGTGATTGTCAACTATGAATATGAAAATACAACCTTCTTATTTTCACTGGTTTTATTAAGTATCCCAATCCCACAGATAAATGTGTATCAAAGCAATACAGATGCATACAGTAGATTTAAATGATTTGAACAATTTTAGAAGAACATTTTTAAATTGGGTGAGAACATCTTAGAAGACTTTTACCAGACAAATGATCATTTCTTTCCTGAAATTTTCACTGCTGCTTATCAAACACGACGAAACGCTTAAGTTTCTATTTTCAAGTAAGAAAAAATATTTAAAGTAGTCGAACACACTTATATTCATCTAAATACAAGACTGCTATACTGTAATGACTGTGCAAATGTAATAGAGAAAGAACAGTATATACCAGTAGTTAGATTGAGCTGGTTTGTAAGATCAAAAAAAATTGCCAAAAAGAAGATACACAAGAATGGCAGTCATTCTTTAAAAAAACAAAAAAATGAAAAACCTTTTATAATATGGCTCAGATGTAGAGAGTATAATTTAGGACTTCCTATAGTGACTTGACAGCCTATTTCACAGAAACAGATTTCAGTGGTTTTATAATCACAGATAATGCACAGACTTATAACAATGAGGTGTCAATATGGGGAAGAGCAGGACTGCAAATCGTTATTTTTGTTGACATTTTCATGGCATATGCCATGTGCATAGCAATGCGAGCAATTGCCTATTAAAGAGGCAGTATAACTTACTCTGTATCCCAAGAGTGCCTAAGAAGTCAGATTGTAGCAAGGAAATACTGCTAGAGTTAATAAACAGGTGCATTAAACACAAAATCTAATTGATTATGGCAGAAGACTGAAGACCATTTTGCCTTTCACACAAGCATTAAAAATTCAGTTCCCATCTCTAAATTGCATTCCTGTTTTGTGCTACAGGAATACTCATAAAACCAAGGAGATTTCAAAGTCCTTGAGCCCATATCAATCTCAAACACAGGCACAGTGATATGATAGGTCCCATCTTTCAGAGAACCAGTGTTCTCATGACAGAGGTGTGAACATTTGCAACCTGAAGAGGAGGGCAATGGGAAGAAAACAGATAATTCATGGCCAGGTTCACTAGGGAAAATGGGCTCCTGAAATCCCAGGGTAAAACTCAATTTGTATGTCACTCAGTTAAGAGTCCAGTCTCCTTCAGAACATAGAACTTGTAATCTTACTCTAAATGTGAGCTCATACTCTAATGGGCTGTTATTAATTAATACACTGAATTGTTTCCAGAGGTAATGGTTTTGGAAGTGGAGCTTTCTCAGTATTAAATAGTTAAGGAACCTACAATCGTTATGGTAAGAGTAGCAATACGAGATTCAATTTTATGATTGTATTCAAAGTTCTGAAATTATATGTCAGTTTTAATCACAGGTTTTTGGCTTCAATCTCTGTACTAATAGTGCATATCAACATCTGCTACATAAAAATTACAAATTGGCTGCGAGTTGGCCATTCCTTTTTATATTTCACGAAAGACTTTCAGAATTTAAGGAGGAGATGAAATTCTCTCCCCATCCTTTCACTGCTGTAAAATTTTCTTCCTTAGGCTTGGTCTAAGCATACTGAATCACTTGAACAGGTGAGCAAAATGCAACCCTGGATGCAAACCTGGTGGAAACTATCAGGATATCCATCACTCATTGTAAATTTTAACTGTAGGAAAAAAAAGCTTTAATCTATTGAATCATACTTTCTCCTAAGTTGCCATTCCTGTTTCCTAAATATATATTCCCATGCCCATTATAGCATCCCTTTTGGCAAATTCTGAATGTATGTTCCAACCTGCTTTAGACTTCTATACTGGCTTTTGTAGTGGGTTTCTTTGAGAAACATAACACTGAACTCACTGTTCAGTGTTGTATTACTACAAACACATTATCAGTGTCCAGCAGGTAAACCATCTTATTTATTTGCATTCTCATTTATTTTTAGGCGTTAATCCTCCCTTGTAGGTTTGTCAAGCAGACATGGTCGAGTTAGCAAGCCACAGAGAATTCTGTTTCTCAGCAAAATAAGAACCCATTTCCCAACTTTGTATGAGTTTAGTGACATCAGCAAGAGGCCGAGAATCTTCAAAAATCATTGTAATCTTGCAATTAATTTAAAACCCTGCTTAGTTCCAGTTTGATGCTGTTATGGGGCACACTCTCAGAGATGCCTGAAAATAAAGTGAGGGAGAAACCATACCTTGGTGCTTGTCACTGGAAATTGAAGTTTTGAGCCCTTTGTAGCTATAGATGTCAGCTTCTCTGCTGGTTTTGTAGGGACTCGATGGTTAGCAGGAGACTGATTGTGCAGAACGAAGGACAGGCAAAGCTTCACAGTCTCCTTCAGAGCTTTCAGCTGTGACTCCTGGGGAAAAGAAGAAATCATCAGTTCTCCGAGATGTGCTATTACGAACAGAATTACTTGCTTCATCTATCTGTATCAAAGCACACATTTACAGACAGCAGCTGTTTGTTGTTTTTTTTTTAAATTTTATTTAGTACTAGATTTTTTTTTTTTAATTTAGTGCAAGAATTAAGACAGATTTATGTAGTTTTTATATGAATAAGTTACTGTGCACTAGGTACTAAGAGGTCTTTGCCCTCTTCCCTTTCATCCCGGTGTTTTATCTACATCGATTATTGCTCATACATCTGTTACCATTAAAGGAACAAATACGTACCGAATGTTACTGAGTCCAGATTCTAGCTTCTCTCTAGCTAAATAGCAGAAAGAAGCAGATATTTGCAACTATTGCAAATAGACACAGACTCTGCATGGAAGTTTGTTCATAATACTCAGAATTATTAGTAATTTTCCACATTCTAAAAGTTGATTTTAATCCAACAGAAGGATGACTTCCCTCATGTACATACATGTGCATATCATGTTGTTGCACTGTGGAGCAGGTAAGCTGTAGTCCTTCCCACCTGTTAAGAGTATGATTGTACTTTAAACCAAGTTAAACCTTTTTATTGGTGAACGATGTTCTCATGATTGCATGATTGTGTTTGCAACATGATCTAGAGTACTGTTATTTTTCAAGTAGAAATATGGACAGATCTATTAACAAGTGCAGCAATCAATTACTAAAAGAAAAAATTGAAAGATGAGGACCTTGTTGTCAAGACAAACAATACAGCACTATGTTTAACTTGTAAGGAAAATCTGTCAGTTTTCAAAGATCACCATTTGAAAAGACTTTATCTGCAAAAACACGCAGCCAAATTTGGTGCATATCATGGAATGCTTTGTAAAGACAAAATAGACAAATTGAAAAATGCCTACCACGTCAACAAAATTAAAACTCAAATGGACACTGTTACAAATGTTGGTTATTTGGTAGCAAATCTGATTGCAAAAAACTCAAAACCATTTACTGATGGTGATTAAGTAATGTTTGGAAAGCGTGGCAGATATAACCCTGATTAAAAAAAATGGATTTTTCTAAAATCATTTTGTCTCACCAGATAAACTGAACAAAAGGGAAAATCTATGAAAATAAATTTGAAGAATAAAGCTGCAAATTCCAAATGTTGTGCTTTGGTAATAGATTAAAGTACATATGCTATAAATACAGTTCACCTTGCCATTTTCATCTGAGGTATTGATGATGGATATAATGTCACCACAGTAATGGCTGCTTTGGTGCCATGAAAATAAAGTACCTTATTTATATGGAGCAGTAAAAATTACATTAAACTGATTGTCTTTATCTCTTATCAACATTGGGTATAGCTATTCATATCACCTTGGTGATGGTAAAAAAAAAAAAAAAAAGGGAGACTTACAAAACTAATAGATAATGCAATTGCCACTGGCAACTCACATTTGATAAAATATCATTGCATCCAAGAAAATGTATGTGCGAAATCATTAAAAATGGATAATGCCATGCAAATCATCATCAAAATTGTGAATTGTATGAAGTCCAACTGATTGAATCATCCCCGGCACAAGTGTACAATTTAGGGAAACAATCAAAGATGTTGTTTGACAAAGTTCTCAACAACCTTGGATGTATCAGCTGTCTGTCTATCAAAAGTAGTATCAAGATACTATGCATGTCTTTTTTTTCCCCCTGAGTATACTCTTGATATATAACATAGTCTACCATCTACGCAAGCAATATTTTAAAACAAATAATAAAAAGAGAACCCTGATATCCTCCCAAAAGAAAAATTCATTTTTATGTCTACTTATAGTCACAGTTGGAGACTCAATCACTCAATTATTAATTTCCAAAACAGCTCATGATCTAAAAATATGTGCTGCTTTCTACATGGCTCCCATTCCTACTGCACGTGCAAGAACTGTCAAAGCAGTGAAGGCAAAGTCTTTACTGTGGTCATCTCCACGTATTTTTAGTTCATAGAGAAAAGCTCTCAGCCACGGCCAAAAAGATTTGTAGAAACTTAAATGATTGTATTAGACTGCATTTAAAATAAGTGTGGACACTGTGTCTCACAGACTTCTTTCACAACTCCACCTATATGAACTTTTTCTTTTCCTTCACTTACAGTGCTCCATTTCCATGTCACCTTCACAGCATGCAAACAATGATGCCACCCAAGGACTTTCTCAATGATAATTTGCCAGAAGATGATTCCACGCTTCTGGAAAGCCTACAGAATAATAACCTAGCCCTAAATTAAAATTCCATAATATTTACCAGGAAAGAAACATAGGGTCAGAGAAGTCAGCCTGGTGTGCTGCAAGTCCCCTTTTAACATGCAGACTGAGTTCCTTAACAGCTTTCTCATTAGAAGTTCCTGACGAGAGATGTTCTTTGCTTTCTCCTTCCCAACTCTCTGCATTGTAACAAATAGCTGCATTCAGAAGATATTTAGCACAAGCATTGTCCTTTTGTCATTGCCACAGACAGCAGCACATGGGCACTACTGAGTGCACATACATGCGAAGAGAGTATGCACTGAAGTTTTCAATTAATGTTTGGAACAGCTGAGCATACCAGCAAGAAACCACCTGCTATGTCACCAGAAACACACAGCTTTGGATAATGCTACCGTGATCATTGTTTATGTTGGTGGCATTTTGCAATGCGGGAGGCAAAATCCTCAGTCAGAAGGAGGGTTTCAGTTACTGCAATACTGACCAACAAGGAGAAATATTTTAGTGCACGAGTAATACTTTTTTAGGAGTCTTTCCAGGGTCTTTTCAGCTTGCTTTTTCTCCTCTTAAATAACCATGCAGATGCATTTCACACAGCACAATTACTCCCTCTGACATTGGAGGAAATAGTCCCAGCTATGTGCATTAATTACGCATCTCAAGTTCTGCAAGACTTCCACTTGTTTTTGTCTAATACCGAAATGTTCACAGTTGATAAACATGCTTACATCACGCTACACCTCTTACTTCATCAAGGGCGGCCTTTTCCAATTCGTCTTTTGCTACTGCTAGTTTCTGCTCTAGATCTGTTAGCTGTTGTGCCTGTGGGAATAAAGAGAAAGCTGATGTCATCTACATTGTATTTTTTTTCCCCATAATTTTTCATGCAGTGCCTGAGAGAGAGGAAGAGATTCTCTGTAAATGTCTGAATTGGGTCAGAAATACTTGTCAAAAAAAAAACAGACCTCATGGGATACTATTTTCCTTGCAGAAAAAATGTATTTTTATGTGGGAACTTAAATCTGCACCATTTTGTTAGTGTAAATTTACTCTTTAATTTCCATGTCAGTAGCACAGATAATTCCACAGTAGGAAGTATTTGTAATCATACCACGGTATTATTTTGAAAACATGAAATTACTTAAAGTTTTAATTATTTTGCTCACTTATCTCACTTCTGCTTGTAATCTGACACGTTAATTTTTTTAAACACTGAGATATAAACATCAACGTAACTAAGCATCAATAGAGAAACTAGGAAACATTCATACATATTTGTCCCTTATAAGACGCTACTCTATGCTGGTACACAAGGTGTTAACTCCCAGTTTATTTCTCCACATTCTTCCCTGGAGATGTAAAAGGAAAAGTCATGGGAATAGCAAGCTATGCAGCTGCACAGGGAGAAAGTGGGGAGTTGTGCATTTGAAGTCAGTGTCATGCACCCAAGCCCACATGTGGGAGGACTGCTGGCTTTTACACAGCTCTGTGCTCTTTGCCTGCAGGGTTCTTCGGGAGGAGATACCTCAAGAGATGTCATTGATCAGCATTAGGCATAGGCTGTAGTGGCTGATAAAATGACAAAAGTCTGTCAGTATTTCCCTGATCGTGATTACACCTCTATCTGTGGATTAATCAGAGCAGTCACGCTTTCATTAGTCAAAAACCTGTACCATGAGACAATATTGCCTCAAAGCAGAAGTCATTTGCTCAGATGAAGGGAAGTCCCTTGTGAATGCATTTCATAATTCCCACTGTATCCCACTTGTTAGAGCTGATACTAGTCACGGTCTCACACACAACAGAGAATGGACCTCTGGCGTGGCTCATCAGCGTGCAGCAGAGCAGCCAATACTGAGGGTTTTTTTTAAATCTCATTTTCTGCAGTCTAAATGGAGTAACCACACTGGCTGTTAAGGGGGAAAAAAAAGTAATTTTTGTGTAAGAATTTCCCTATACTTCAGCAACATTTATGCTTGCTACTAAATATAGTACATAACCCTGCCAATAAGCTCATTTCTTTGTTTGAAAGACTGAAAATAATATTTGGCTTTTACACAGAGACAGTTCAATACCAGGACTGGGCGAAGTAATTTCTCACATCAATAACACTGTAATTATTGCTACACATTAAAATATTTTTTTCCCACTACAGTTATACAGATTAATACACTTTCAGTGAATGAGAAACAACATTTGAAAACCAGTATATATAACTAGATAAATTTCATTGCCATTAAGAATGAAATTATACAAAATAGCATTGCTATGATAGACGAGAGGCCAGTATGGCAGCTCTTATGGTGCATATTTCTAAAGGCTTAGGATTATACAGAGGATGATGGATCGTCGCTTAGTGTGAGCCGAACAGCTGCTCCATTCATCACCATCTGTGGAACACCAGAACTGAAGATGCAAATTTCTATCTGCTGTTCTTAGGCACATGAATTACTGAGGTAGCTGAAAAGCTGAGTAGCTGATATCTAGCAAGTAACCAGAGCTACAGGCATCAGCTGCTGCCTTCACACCAGGGCAATGTCTGCAGAAACATCATTCACCGTTCTCAGTGGAAATACAGTCACATTAAGTTTGAGGACAAGTAGTTGATTTCATTTCTAGGTGCCTCCCGGTAAAAAGAATGAAGTAATGTTACACAGAATAACAACACTGCTCACATCAAGCAAACATTTTCTGTTTCTGGCAAGAAGGGTTTTCTTCCAGAGGACAGGCTAGTATGTGTTAGTAAAGTCTTCCTGTGGGCGTCATTTATGAAATCTTATCCTTATTTTTGGACACACCATAGTATGCAATGGATTGACTTTATCTGCATCTTTCATGTATATTTATTTCATTTCACAGATTACTGAACCAAAAGGCCACTGGCTAAGCAGAAATCAAACAATAATAAAATTCTGACATTAAAAATGTTTCTGTTCTGGAAGGATGAACTGCTCACTTAACAATAGTGATGACTATTTAAACTTATTCCTCAAACAGTAGAATGATCAATTTTTTTTTCCCCCAAATCTTTCTATCCACAAAGCCTGAATTTTTATGTCAATAGTTACGCTGCTGTTTTAATTAAAAACATTTTTTAAGGAGCCTGTTCAATTTATGTAGCTTAGGTAGCTTATGAAGTACAAGTGCAGAATGCCAGAAGGACCACATAAGGCCACTTTTCAGAAGGAGGAAAAGACCTTTGCAAATTTTGGTCTGGGAAAACTTCAAAATATCTTTTCTTATAGAATCCAGACTTACTGACAAAACTGAGATAAATCAATTCCTCATCCCCTGAAAGAATGCGCTGAGCAATTTCTGTCTGTGAAGTGCACTTTTCCAGATCAAAGGATGTACTTACCTATACTCATCATGAATTACATTACACACAATGCCCATATTTAAATTATTCCAGGCATAGTAAGTATCACGCAAAAAAAAGGAAAAAAAGGAATAAGAGGGGAGGAAGGGAGGACAAGAGGGGGAAAAAAAGAATTAAGGGGGAAAATAAAAAACAAATCCAGAAGGACAAGTATGCTTTTCAAGTAGAGAGAAATCCAAAGTGATTTAAAATTTATTTCAAGCGATTAATAGAGACCAGAGTGAATTTTCAATTAAAGCATCATTTATATACATATATGTGCAGGCAATGTCTGCATGTCTTCATTCTGATAATTTTGAACGGTCAAGAATTTACAGTTATCACATTTATACAACATAGATTGCTGAATTATTGAAATCCCATCAGCTTTGTAAGATACATCAGTGACATCGGAAAAAAAGATTAAAACCCTTCATTAATGGCCTTTCAAATGGCTTTGGAGAAGTCCTAGGTTTTATTCGAATAAGGAGATCTTTTCTAACATCTTTCTTGGGATGAACATATCCAGAAAAACTTAGGGTCAAGTTTCAGATGATGTGAGAGACAGGAAAACAGGACAGCACACTTACAAATAGAAAAATAGATATATTTTTTTTAGTGTTTATTAGTGTTTATTGCATTCTCCTTATTTGTAGCTTTTTCTTCAAGAGAATATACATTTGGATTTTAATTGGCAGTTCATTATAAATCTCTTCAACCTTTTTTTTTCATACCAAGAATTCCTGCTTATTGAAGACAAAATAATCTCTGCTTAATAAGAAAACATGATTAACTAATTGATATTTAGCAACACATGAAATAGATGGCATATCTTGAACTCCATTTTATTTTACAATAGGCTTCAAATAACTGCTTCAAAATTATTTAGTGTATAAATTTTCATTTTATAATTTACATTGTCTGAATAGGAAAACTTTTTAATTGGAAACCAGTTAACCAGAAAATGGAACAACTGCTTAATCGAATACGTTATCCAGTACGCAGAAATGGCTGTGCTTACTCTGAATTTCTGTAAGCACTATTTGTACCTTAGAAATATACAGATTTGTGCTTCTGAGTTGTACAGGTTATTGCACTACAGTGCTGCAGAAGCTAAATGTAACTGAGAATAACCCCTCTTGGCAGCTATTCCATTTAATTACACGTGTGCCTAAAGCCATATATTGTGCATGTCCAACCTTTTTGCTTGTCTGGGCCACATTTAGTGAATAGAAATTGTCTTGGGTACAGAGGTTGCTCCATAAGTAATGCCTCCTATTTTTTTTTTTCCCTTCAACAGCTACAAAGAGCACAATAACACTGTTCGATAGAGCAAATCTCAGCTACAAAACACTATTTTTCAACATAGTTAGCACCATTAACTATGCATTTTTACCTGCAATGAACAAGAGCCTGCACATGCTCATTGGAACCTGCAGCAGCAGTGGTGACCCACTGTCACCAGTGCTGAAGTGTACCACACACTGCCTCACTATGCTCAAATCCAAGGAGTGGTTTCAAACTTAAAGAGGGAAGATTTAGGTTGGATAAAAGGAAAAAGACTTTTACAGTGAGGCGGTTGAGGCATTAGAACAGATTGCCCAGAGGTGATGGAAGCCCTGGCCTTCGAGATATTCAAGGTAAGGCTGGAGGGAGCCTTGAGCACTGGACTGAGCTACAGTTGTCCTAGTTCATAGCAAAAGAGTTGGGCAAGATGATCTTTAAAGCCAACCAAATATAAGGATTCCATGATACGATTTTCAAATTCATTTATCAAAACAGAAAGCATTCCTATATGATCTTTGCAAATAATTGATCAGCTGAGAAATAAAGTTTTATGTTCAGTAGTGGGTAACGTCCCTCTACATATCTAAAAGTATATTAAAGCACTGACTTCACGAAGAAAAAAATCCTTATGTGAATAATCAACAAATACTTTTTGATAAAAGTATAATAAGCTTTGCCACTTCAAAAAAGAAGATAGCTAGCAACTTCAAAGACTAAGCTGTGGCAAGCAGCAAGAACAACAGGGACCCTAAACTACACAGACTAAATCCATTACTTAATTCAAACGTGAATTAGTCCAATTGCTCTGGAGTAGAACTACCTCAAGGAAGACCCCATCATCTCTTCATCTTCCAAATCTCCCTCTACATGATAACCCATAAAACCCTTCACAGTCCAACCATCCATTTAAAGATCAGCCATCCATTTAAAGATGCAGGCTGCAACTTCATTGGCAAAGTAAAAAAACAAAAACAGAACAGAACAATGTAGTGACAAAGTGTGTACTCAACCCTACTATTCCCAAATAGCAAAAAATTGAATTCTGTTACAGTATCCCATTCTAGAAGTCAACAGATAAAATAGATGAGTTTTCATGTAAGAACAGCTCCAAATACAAATAAAATCTGCAATACACTTCCTCAGCCATCAATACAGCTGCTTTGAAGAATACACTTAC